ACCTGGTGAGTATACCTCGTGAGGACAAGTTCCTTCGTGGCGGCGAGATAACGAGCCTCAGGAGTCTCGCCAGGAGCGCCATCGGAGGACGAGGAGGAGACTCGAGAGCGACGTCGGGGGAACAGCTGGGCTAGACGATCTCGAGGAAGAGGGGGTAGTTTGTCCACCTTGCTGACATCTGGCGGAAGAGAAGTGTTTTTTTTTTTGTTTTTGTTTTTTTTTAGAAAGAGAGAATTGGTTTCCAAAGTGGGTGGTGGGAAGATCTGTGTGAGAGGGGGGGGGGTAAGGCAAAAGGGTGCGGTTGGGGGGGGGGGCGGTAGCATGGCATTAGGAGCCTTCCTGAAGGGGGGGGTGGGGGAGTAAGGCAAATTAGGAGCCTTCCTGTAAGCACATAACTGATACAAAATAATCTAGAATATTAAGCGAATAATAATAACAACAGCTTTCTATATACATATAATACAAAACACAACCCTAAAGATAATACCATAAACCTATTCATATCCTTTTTTTTCTTCTGTCCACGTGATAATCAGGAACAATTTAGTCATTTTCATCGATTAGTAAGTCTATCCGTTGCGAGGAGCGAGGGTGATATAATGGACATGGCTTCAAGTCTCTTTGACAGACGAATAGAAGGTGCTCATTTGCATTCGTCATGGCTGTTGCAAACCCCACTCGACCAAAAACACAGATGGGGAATAGAAGTTATTATTTTCCTGTGTTAATTTATACTGAACTATCGATGCTAGTGGTTTATAACTGAGTGAACTTATATTGCTTAATCTAAGTCTTATCAATTATGAAATTTAAAGAGGGATGTTCATAAAGCGTAAATAAATTGAATGCTTGAATCCTTATCAACATCAGTTCAAAGTTATTTATTCATTAATCAAACATAAATAAGTTGATAAACTTGAAACTATATCAATACATTTTTTAATGCATCTTTTCATTCTGCACAAAGTAAACAGTGATATCTACTTCTTCATAATCATGAAATTTAAAAAGAAACATTAATCAAACATGAAAAAAAAAATTTGAAACTATGTCACCTTCAGTTCCATAAATGCTGTCATTCTGCACGGAGTAAACAGTACAACGAATTATGAACTAGCATACATTAAACTATTATTGATGTTGCCATTCTAGTGGTTTTCCTACAAAGTTAATTAGTAATGATTAAGTGGGAAAATTTTCGAATTTTAGTCTATATTTAGCGATTTTCTAGTCCTTTTAAGCGGGAAAATTGAGCTTTTATATTCTCATGGTCAGTGGATTTTAATGTCCAGTATTGCGGGGGGGGGGGGTCTTTCTTTCTTTTAATAACAATGGCAACACCGCTCATACTTATTCTACACCTCACCTCATCATCAAAAATTGTTCACGGAATGTGCGTGTGTTCAGCTTCATTACCTTTAGACATTATTTGTTGCTGTGAACCTTCCTTGCTAAAAGTGATCGGGGTTCCATCGTTGTCTCGCTGCTCCTGAATTAGAGAAAGAAGAAAAAAATAAAGGAAATTTGTTAGAATAGCGTACATGCGAATTTTAGATTAATAGACGTTATATATAATCTTCTTATCTTGAGGACTGAAGAGACTGAGGTTGTACTTTTGCCGGATTTAGACTTAAGAATTATAACCTGAACTTGGTGTGTCAATTGTATTTTCTTACACTTTAATAACGCATTAGAAGATCCTATAATAAAAGAAATGGCATTGGATTAGACTACGATACAGATATTTTAGTATCAAAATCCCACGTAATGTTAAAGAAGAAAGAATACGAATGTGTAGAAAAAACGTAGAATATAATGTAAAGAAAAGGTAATAAAAAACAAAACTGAAGAGCAGGTTTCGATTCCTTTCATGAACCCGTAATGAAACATTTCGAAGCTTCGATTCCTTCATTCTCAACCTGCTACATGTCTAATGTCACAAAAAACATTAAAGATTATAGCGAAAACTGCTATTAAGATATTGCGAATCACATCTCGAACGTTCAGACAATGGGACTTCATTCAAAACTTGGCTTCGTGTGTTCCTTATTCCTCAACGATGTAATTTATATGAAGTTTAAATGAAGCGTTTCAAATGTTTTTCTTCTTCCTTTCCTTTCCCTTTTCCTTTTTATTATTTTCCTTTTTTCTTTTCCTTCTCCTTTTTATTCTCCTTCTTCTTCTTCTTTCAGACTAACATGTTTTGAATTAATATTTAATATTAATATTAAATATTTAATATTTGAATTAATAATTAATGTTTTGAAGATATGGTCAAAATATTTAGTTTTAACGTATTCCCAAACCCTTCTAGAACATTCAGACAACGGCATCCATAACAAAGTGTTGCGTAGCCTTTGTCATTGAACAGGAATTCATACTGTGAACTACAATACTATTTCATTTGATCCAAACTATTTATCAACGAAAAGGCCTTTGTTGTTCAGTACGTCCCATTTGCGCTGGAAGATTCTGGTAAGTATTTGGTGCAAATAATTTT